ATCGTGGTGGAAAAAGACTCTCTGGTGAAGTTTTCCTACTAACGCTTTGGCTAGCTTTTTCAAACACTTGCATAATAAGCAGATGTTATCATTTTTTGGCCCTCCAGAAAGTCAATAAGCAAAATGCTTTGAACATTCCAAAACACTGTTGCCATGATCTTAACTGGTCCCGTTTTGCTTTGACTGGACCATTTCCACCTCTTGGTAGTTATTGCTTTCTTTGATTGTACTTTGTTTTCAGAATCATACTGGTAAAGCCATGTTTCATCTCCTGTTACAATTCTTGCAAGAGATTCTTCAGGATCTTGATCACATTAATTTAACATTTCCATTAAAAGGTCTGTTGTTGTCTACAGCTAATCCGGGTGCAATACTTTTGGCACCCATCAAGCAGAAAGGTTGCTCAACTTTAATTTTTCAGTCAGCATTGTGTAACTTGAACTAATTGAGGTATCTATGGTGTTGGCTATTGTTTCTGCTATTAATCATTGGTCTTCTTCAATTAGGGCATAAACAAGATTAATTTTTTCCTTGCAAATTGCTGTGAATGGTCCACCACCATAAGCTTGATCTTCAACATCATTTATACTTTCTTAAAATGAGTTATCCATTTGTTAACTGCTGATTTCTTTGTCCTATAAACTTTTCACCAAGCGTCAGTGATTTCACCATACTTCCCCCCCAAGCTTCACCATAAAATTTGATGTTTGTTCAATTCTTGCTTCCACTTTAGCAGAATTCATGTTGCTCTTATAAGGGCTCTTTTCAGACTGCTGTCTTAGCCTTCTTAGTACCTCAAAATAGATCCTGTTCAGACATGTTATAACAGGTAAGTGCTAGTTTATTTTGGTGCAAAAGAAAAATTGAAATTCATGCATAGTTTTTAAAATTTTTTTATGACACTCATTTTCCATGAACTTTTTGAAGAGCCCTCATGATTCCTTACTTGGCCTTCTGTGCCACTGCCTTAGCAGTGTGTTGGGGCACCTTGTTATAGCCCCTTGAGGGTGAAAGTCTAGGCTCCCCACTTAACTTTTGCTGGCATCAGTAGAGGTAATTTTTCTGTGGTGTTAGGCTAGGATAGAGCAGTTCTTATCAACATTTTTTGTCTTACTAAACTGTCTTTTTCCTGGTCCTTTGGCTAGAGAGAGCCGACTTTATTGGGACTTTTCTCATCCTCACTCACTGGGATTTCTGGAATAGTGGCTTCTTCAGCTCCAAGTCTGAATATATGAGGAAAAAAAGAAAACCTAAGGAATGCAGAACCATGTCATTCCTTGTGTTCCAAGGTTCCTAACCATTCTGCCTTATTCTGTCTTTCAGAGTTTTCATATGTTTGTTTTACATATAATGTTCAGGAGTTTTCGTTGTACTTAGTGGGAGCAACAGTGTAGAGTATGTCTGCTCCATTTTCTTAGAAGTGGAAGTTACGCCTCAGTTTCATTTTGTTATTATTTTTTAATCTAATATAGAACTAAGTTGGACTTCCTATTTCTTTACTATTGTGGATCTCTGGTAACTTTGAAACCTATTGGATCTGGCCTTGAAATTTATACGAAGTATAAAGTGGGCTCATAGCTGGATTATCACAGGATTTTAGGCAAGTTCCTTTATTTCTGTACACTCATCTTTCTTTCTGTATCTTTTACTTATTCTCCTTTGTTTTCTTTGCTTTTTACAGAGGTGCTGCTAGTAGAGACCTCTTGGCCACAAGATGGTGCCCCAGAGTAGCTCACTTAAGCTCTTCTGCTTTTCTTTGGACACTTGTCTTTATCTGAATGTTATTAAGTCAGTTCTGACTAATAGCGACCCTGTATAGGGTTTCCAGGGAGCAGCTGGTGGGTTTGAACCACCAACCTTGTGGCAGTCCAGTGCTTATTCCACAGCACCAAACCAAGAGTCCTCAAAACTATTACCTGACCCAGGAATGTGCTGTGAAGAATCTATTGTATTTTCTTTTAAGCCATATCTTCCCAGTTGCCTAGAAACTTAAGCAATCAATATTTTTTTAAAATGGTTTTTGTTTCAACTTTTTATTTTGTAATTTTACAATAGCTTTCTGGGAATTCTTATGGAAATTAAAAACTGTAGATGGGTTTCAGTTAATGAGTTGCTTCTGTTTTCTATCTGAGATTATTATATATGGGCTCATTGACAATAATGTGAAATCCCAGTATACTTTTAAAACATTAATGCTATCATTGCATTCCAAAGATGTGTTCTCAATGTCTTCTGAGATATTCGAATCCATGCAATTAGACTTTCTTAGTGTAGGTGTTTTCTTTTGACTGCTAGCCTAACATTTAAAATATCATAAAAATCTTTGGGCAGTGAGCTGTGGGTAGTTTCTTTCATATTCTTGTGTATATTTTTCAAGCTTTCAGTAACAAGCTACTTTTATGATGGATAAAATTGAAGTTGGGCTTATTCTTCAGCTAATCAGAAAATGTGTATTAACCATCCAGTATTTGTAATGTCAGCATATATTTTTTCCAAGACATGATAAGTGAATAAGAATATTATTAGACACTATTTCACTAAAGGCAGGTACCATGTCTATATTAGTTTTGTTGGCTGTGGTATCTACCACATTCCTTACACATAGGAAGACTTAGGAAATGATTTCTGGATAATCACTATTCCTGGCTATGATGAGATCTATCTTTTATTAGTAATAAAGCTTTGGGTTTCGAGTTTTCAAGCTGGTCTTCATTTTCTTACCCTGCTTGAATATTAGCTCACATTGAGTGGGCTAGTTATATCCATTTTATGTCTTCACTTTAAAACTAATAATTAGAAATAAAAAAGCAACTACTCCCTACTAAAATAATAAGAATATTACTGGAATTGGGTGGCAAGAAAATCAAATATTAGGCAGTCATTTTAAAATCCTACCCACTGCTGTCCAGTTGATGCTGACCATAAAGATTTTGTAGGACAGAGTAGGACTGCTTGACAGGGCTTCGAAGACTATAAATGTCCACTGGAGCAGGTAACCTCTCCTTTCTCACACGGAGCAGCTGATGGCTTTGAACCGCCCACCTTGTAGTTAGCAGACTGATGTTTACCCCATTGTACCACCAAATCAGCCCTTGCTAATTCATTAGTAGATCATCAGAGAGTCTGCATGTGTATTCAACATAACAGGTGCCAAGGCAGTATTTTATAAGTGACCGAATAAATAGATGAAATTTTACTAATTAAAGAATTTGAAATAATAACCTAAAATTCTACAGGGAAAGAAATGATGAGTAAACTCAACCCAAGGAAGACATCAACCCAAGGAAGACATAAGAAAATTAAGGACTTCTAGCTTTCAACTTGTGATTTTAGAATTTCTTTATTTTCTGGTTGTTGTTGTTACGTGCCATTGAGTCGCTTTTGACTCATAGCCACCCAGTGTAGGGTTTCCAAGCAAGGAGTGTCTGGTAGGTTTGAACTGCCAACTTTTCAGTTAGCTGTCCAGTTTTTCTACAGTGCTATACCAGGACTCCTATTTTCCTGGTATACTGCTGTGGTACTGTGGGCTAATACGCTAGACTGCAAAGTTGGTTTGAACCATAGCTCAGCGGTTCTAGCTCACCACAAGCTCACCAGCTGCTCCTTGGAAACCCTATATAGGATCTCTTTGTGTCAGAACCGGCTCAATGGCACTTAACAACAACATTATAATAATATAAATTATAATTCTTTTCATTAATTTTTGTTTTATTTAGTAATACCTACTTATAGCATGGAGAAGTCAGTTGCTTAAAGGATAAGCACTGGACTGTGAACCACAGGGTCAGTGGTTCAAGCCCACCATCCACTGTATGGGAGAAAGATAAGATTTTCTGTTTCCTCAAAGATTTACAGCCTTAGAACAACACTTCATAGCCTAATTGAATATGTTGTACTCTCTCCTCGGTGGCTATGTGTCGGAACCGACCTGACGGCACTTAACAATGACAAGAACGAAAACTTGAAAGTAAGCTATGGGCTTTTCTTTATGAAAGATGGAATGTAGACAAGGTCACCAAAGTACTGTTAATTAGTTCTGACTCATTGCGACCCTGTTTAGGGTTTCTGAGGCTATAAGTCTTTACAGGAGCAGAAAGACTCATCTGTCTCTCATGGAGCAGCTGGTGGGCTCCAACTGCCAAACTTGTGGTTAGTAGTCCAGTGCTTCTTCTACAGAGCCACGGCACTCCCCACCAAAATACTGGGTTTCCTAAACATCCAGCACTCTATAGAATAAACACTGGAGTTGGAACCACAAGATCAGAGGTGCGAGCCCACCAGCCACTCCACAGGAAAAAGATGAGGCTTTCTGTTCCCACAAAGATTCACAGCCTCTGAAACCTTATACAGGGTTGCTATGAGTCAGAACCAACTCTCTGGCACTTAACAACAACAACAAAGACTTTTGAGGACTTCGTGTAAGCACAGAGCTAAACTGGAAAGTGAGCTAGAGGGTGGAAACCGTGCAGATTTTTAGAAGATTTCAATCAAAGGCAGTAGTCTCAGCAACGGAATCATGGCATGGAAAAGCTGGCTGAAAAGTCACTATCTAGTCCAGCAGACAGTTGAAAACATTTTTAAAAAGAAGTAAAACTCTTTATTTAAAGAAAATTTATGAGAATACCAATATATAAATATGCAAAGGTTGAGCTTTGTCCATGAAAAGAGGATTGGAGGTGTATAGCAGAACCCCAGCTCCCGTAAGCATCCTATGTCTCTCCCTATGATATATAGGGAACACATTTTTAAACAATTAAATCTAGCCTATATTTAGAAAATCACCTTGGAGCCAATGTAGCACAGGCTAGCCAATGATCAGATGTTAAACATTCATTTGTAATAAAGAAGCATTTTTCTCAGGCTATATTTTAAGGATTTTTTTTTTTTCTTACCCCTTATCAGAAGAGAGCACGTCACCAATGAAATTAGAAGCTAAAAGCATTGCACTTATCTGAGATTCTTCCCTTGACCTTCCTGGGTGCTGGCCTTGTGTTTTCCAGCTCTTGGATGTGGTCTCTCAGCTAGCCAAGCAGAATCAACAACTTCTGGTCCTGGGCCGGAAGCACATGCTAAAGCCATGTTCTCGGTGGAGAAAGGATGAAATGGAAAAGGTGCAAAAGCAAGCAAGCTGCTTCTTTGCTGACAACATGTAAGTATTGAAGATAAAAAGTCAATTACACTAAGGCTACAGCCACCTGCTAGTTAGTTACCTACTTTTGGCATTTTAAAAATGCACGTATGTGTGTATATTCAACTTCATTCATTCCAAAAAAAAAAACAACTTAAGGCAACTTATGGAAATACAACAACAAGGTGAACTTAAATTGATGAAAAAATCAGAGTAAAGAAGAAATTGGAGGAATATATATATATGGACTTCTGTGTTCTGGAGAAAGAATGGTAAACAAGAAAAGGTCTCTATACTATTGGGACTTACAGTAAATAAATAATATGTTGTTGTTAAGTGCTGTTAAGTCGGTTCCAACTCATATCAACCCTGTGTAGGGTTTGCAAGGAGAGGCTGGTGAGTTTGAACCACTGACCTCACAATTCAAACCCACCGTGCAGTCCAGTGCATTAATACACAGCTCCACAACAAATAATTAGATGATGTAATTTCAGACAGTGACCAATGCTATGAAGACACTAAGAGAAAATAGATAGTAAAGGAGGGCTTGATCAGGAGGTAATCAGAGGGTGGTAGATGGAAAGAGGTGGTCAGAAAGGTGTTTCTGAAGGGAAGCAATGAGTCATTTGATAAAGAGGGAGGGGAAGAATATCCCAAACAGAAGGAAAAGCAGTGTTCAAACAGTGGCCCGACTTTGGATCATTTGAATCAAGGTGTAAAGCATGTGACATGTCGCAGTCCAAATTCTCCTGGGCCAAGGTGGGTCATCCCTGTTACTTGTATAGCATATACACTCAAACGCTAAGTGCTGATGTTGAAGGTAGTGATCAGATTCAGAATTGCTGGCTCTTCTCAAAGCTAGAGATGCTTTCAGGTGCTGATCCAGGCGGCTTCTCACAAGCTGCTTTGAAATACCAATTTCAGCTTTGAGGTCAGCCAGTTATCTAATGGCGTCCCAAGGAAGTGTCATCCTGCCTTAGTAGTCTTTTGAATGTTTGTTTGTTGGTTGGTTGGTTTTAATTTGAGTGATGGAAGGGAAATAAAAGATGTGACCCTGCAATGGATATGGTAAATACAAACGTTTCCCTGAGAACACAGAGAACTTTTGAATATGAAGAGAGAGAATCGTTGTTAGAATTCTTCCATCCAGTGTGTGAAACCAGTTGAGATGTTAGAGCCCCATCCATTCGTTTTCCATCTGTCTTCTAGATGGCATTGTCTACCCACTAAGGACTTCAGGGGAGTCACAAATAGCACTGAGATCATGTCTGTAAAGCATTCAGAGCCCCCCTGAAGAAAACAAGAGGCTAAAATGCATGAAGAAAAATGCTGCTCTCTGCCTCCTTCAGGCTTTGCTTGACTATGTGTCCTTTCTCTATGCCTGGCTCAGCTCAAAGGATGACCCGTTCCTTCTGTACGCCACTCTGCACTCTGGGAACCACTGCAAGTTTATCACAAATGACCTGATGCGGGACCACAAAGCTTGTCTGCCCGATGCCAAGACCCAGCGCCTCTTCTTTAAATGGCAGCAAGGACATCAGCTGGCAATTATTAGTAGGTTTCCAGGGTCAAAGTTAACCTTTCAGGTATGTTCTCTGTTCTCTGCATCATATCAACAGAGTAAAGTAGTAGTAAGAATGTGAAAGTAAAAGTAAAACATAGCAAAAGATGCTGGATGTTTTGTTTTTATCGATTTAAGTTTGATATTTGGATTAGTTCATAGAAACAGAGTTTCTGCCATCAGCAAACCCCAAATTAATTGGCATATTGAAAACACCTGGGATGTCATCCGTCGTGCCTTCTCATGTGCAGGGTTTTTTTCTTCTCTCAGTTTATTTGCAGTAGCTCGTAAGTGCTTCTCCATATGGTTTGTCGTAATCCTACTTCTGCTAAGTTAACGCATTTTCCCTTTTGAGTCAGAACCGTGTCCATGGCACGTGACAGCAACAGTCCACCTTTACAGCGTGGGTCTCCATTGCGTTGTTTGATTCCAGATTGTTGGTGTGTGCCATTGAGTGATTCCAGTTCATAAGGAACCTACATGACCGAGTAGAACTAACTGATCACAAAGGGGTTTTATGGGAGCAGTTCACCAGGTCTTTTCTGGTGAGCTCAAACTGTTGACCTTTTGATTAGCAGCCGAGTGCTTAACTGTTGAGCCACCAGGGTTCCTTTATCCTACTTTGTTTGGTTGTTGCTGTATGCCATCAAATCAATTCTGACTCGTAGCAAATATGACATAACTGCCCATAGGGTTTCCTCATCTGTAATCTGTATAGGTACAGATCACTAGGTCTTTTCTCCCTCAGAGTTATTGGCGGCTTTGAACCATTAACCTTCAGGCCACCAAACCCAAATCAAGCCCACTGTTGTTGAGCTTAATCCAACTCGTAATGACCCTGTAAGGCAGAGTAGAACTGCTCCATAGAGTTTCTGAAGCTGTGAACCTCTGCAGAGCCACCTGCCTCATCTGAACTTCTGTGGAGCAGCTGGTGAGATCACAACCATAACCTTTTGGTTAGCAGCCACCACAAGGATGCCTCTTGCATGAGAAAAAAGGAAGCAAATCCAAAAGCAAATTCCCTGGCTCCTGTTAAAATATGGCTCAGAGGTAAAAAAAAAAAAAAATACAACATATTTGCAAGAAATAGGGTGTCGAATGATGCTCCCAGGAATGCACTTAGTAACATGAAGACCAGGAAGACTGGGCAACAGGATGGCTGACCTGACTTCTTCAATAACAGCAACAACAAAGAGAGAAACAGCAATAAAAAGGAAATCTCTAGATTAAAAGAAAAATAATTTTTTCTGTCAGTCACAATGTAAAACTTCATTTCAATTCCAATTCAAACAAATTAACTGTAAAATATTGTTGCTGTTTTTAGGTGCTGTCAAGACTGTTCACCTATAAAAATATATACACATGTCCTGGTGTGGTACTGTAGAATAAGCATTTGTTAACCACAAGGCCGGCAGTTCAAACCCAGCAGGTGCTCCTCGTAAACTCTCTTCAGGGTTGCTATGCGTTGAAACCAACTCAATAGCACTTAACAACAACAACAGCAGCAAACATATAATTGAGAAGAAAATTAATGTTGTTAAATTAATATTAAATTTTTAATGTAACAATTGTTTTGATGTTACATTTGAAAACAAAAGTCCTTATCTTTTAGAGATACATGTTGAAATATTTACAAAAGAACTGGTATATCTGGGATTTGTTTCAAAATGATATTGGGTATGTGAGGGAGAAAGGAAGTAGGTGGTAAATAAGTTGAACGATGATTTGATAATAGTCAAAGCTGGGTGTTGGTACATGGGAGTTTGTTATACTAGTTCTCTACTTTTGTATATTGAAATTTTTCTCTCTATATTTTTCTCTCATAGACACAAAACCAATAAAGGCAACAAAAGGAGTTCTGTATCCTATAAATGTAATGTTCCTCTAGAGAGTCCTTAACTTTAAAAATGAAATCTAAAAAGAAGGAACTCTTACTTAGTATTAGGGTTCATCTTTACGGAGCTAGCTGCTCTTTAAACATCCATTGTGAAGTAAGTGAGGAAATCCGTTATCGAAGCAAACTGAGAAGTTGTCAGAAAAGAAAGGGAAATGACCAGGTAACCTGATAGTGCTATTTTCAATGTCTGGTTCCCTTTTTAATTCAACAGAGTATTCTCAGCTATGATACAGTGGTGCAAACAACTGGAGACTCGTGGCATATACCATATGATGAAGACCTGGTGGAAAGATACTCCTATGAAGTGCCAACCAAATGGCTTTGCCTTCACCGAAAGACATAAGACTCTTTCCCTCTATGCTAAGTTTGTGTCTGGGTGCCTTCCTTCCTGGTTCACAGCAGACTTCTTAAGTTGCTTGTTTTGAATGTTGCCTATTCCCTGAAGAGAAAAGGATTTTACTAACACCATTTGATCCAGTTGGTCTATATGTCAACAAGTTGATTTTTCAGTTAAACAGGATAATAAGATCTTTTCGTAACTGGATGCATGTTTCCCCTAACATTTCTTTTCGAATGCTTATCCATAGTCAGAGAACTCAGTGCAGAGTGAAGCCTACATTTCTCCTATTGGACCAGCTATTCCACTTAGGCGACATGCAGACATTGGAGTGACAGCACTGTCAACACAGAACCATCTGGCTCTGGGCTACACCTCTCTAAACCCCTTTTCCTATCTCTGGCATCTTCTCATTCTATGCATGTCATCACCTAACCACATGAAGAGTCCTTTGTTAAAAACTGATCAAGATACCAAAGGCTTACCAGGAAATTTTAGTTACTTACCACCCAATGATTTGGGTGGAGGAAAGCAAGTAATTCCTTCAAACTCTCTTTGGACTGTAATCATTCATTCATTCTTGTATAATCCTTTTTCTATGCTGGTATATTTTATGTACACTATTAATTTTTTTACCATTTTGACTTCTTGCTAGGTGCCATCGAGTTGCTTCTGATTCATAGTGACCCTATGCACAATAGAACAAAACACTGCCTGGTCCTGTGCCATCCTCACGATTGTTTTATGTTTATTAATCCATTTCCTTGGGAGTCTTCTTTTTCACTGACCCTCCCTTTACAAAGCATGATGTCTTTCTCCAGGGATTGATCCCTCCTGACAACATGTCCCGAAGAAAAACAGTAGAAGTCTCACCATCCTCGCTTCCAAAGAACATTCTGATTGTACTTCTTCCAAGACAGCTTTGTTTGTTCTTCTGGAAGTACATGTACTTTCAATATTCTACACCAACACCATAATTCAAATATAGTGAGTCTTATATAGCCTTCCTTAAGGAGCTCTGGTAGTATAGTGGTTACTAATCGGGCTGCGAACCTCAGGGTCAGCAGTTTGAAACTACCACCTGTTCCACGGGAGAAAGATGAGGCTTTCTGCTCCTGTAAAGATTTATAGCCTCGGAAACCCTGTACAGGGTTGCTATGAGTCGGAACCGACTCCACGGCACACAACAACGACATATAGTCTTCCTTGGTCATTGTGCAACTTTCACATGCACATAAGGTGATTAAAAATACCATAGCGTGAGTCAGGGGCACCTTAGTCCTCAGAGTGACATCTTTGAGGACTAAGGTGCAAATTGACTGCAAAAGAGGCCTTTTGAAGTCAATTTGCCTCGCATAGCAAAATGAGTAATGGTTGGTGGTTGTGTGCCGTGGGTTGGTTCCAACTCATAGCAACCCAGCATAGGGTTTCCGAAGCAGAAAGCCTTATCTTTCTCCTGTGGAAGAGCTGGTAGTTTTGAACTGCTGACCTTGAGGTTATCAGCCTGACTCATAACCACTACGCTACCAGAGCTCCTTAAAATGAGTACTAGTTGCCTCTATTTTACCTCCTTGCTAGCCAGCTCTCACTTCACTTTGCCCTTGATATCAGCTCAAAATATTCATGTTTGCAGCTCTTCATGATAGTTCCTTCCTCATCCAGGCTGTATTCTGGATCCCTTTAGTCTCCATTCCCTGCTACATCATTCCCAGAGAAACCTCCCCCAGTGTCTCTCTGAGGCCTCACCTCCTTGGCTGATCTGTGCTTATCTGATGTATTTCTTTCTTGTTGCCCACCACAGCTGTGCCCTTCTTGTTCCGATCATTCATTTTGATCATCAATTTCTCCAAGAAAGTATTCTTTTATTTTCTATGCCCATTCCTATGTTTGGTCACTGGGTCTAGGGAAAGAATCATTTAGAGAAGACAATGACATTGATAATAATTTCTGAATTCTAGTTTTTATATTAGAAAGACTTTCATCTCTAAAAAAATGGGATGTCCACATCCGTAGTAATTTCTAAGGCAAAAGAAATCCCATAAAAACTACAATATGGGATTTTTCATTCATGAAAACTGACGGAAGTTAAAATGATACAAAATCCAAAACAGTTAAAAATGGAAAAAAGCTAAATCTCCTTCAGTAGGAAACTATATATGTCATTATTTGCATATCCAGTGGGATATTATATAGCCATTGAAAATAATGATGCAACCTTATATTTACTTATTTTAAAATATTTATTTTGGTGAAATTAACAATGACATCACTTACATGAAATCATACACATTACATGAAGTTAGGGTATGTATTATGCTCAGAGATACCAATAAAATGTACTGTTTATTTCATCACAATCTGTTTGAGATGTTCTTCCTGTATCTATTCACTTTACTCACTCCCTCACTTCCTTCAAGATTTGGCTCAAATATGAATTGTCAGTTAAGGCTGTGCTGCTCTGACCTAACCTACTCCTGGCTCTGCTGCTGCTCCACTTGGAACACACACCCTACCTCACACTTTCTCTCTTCCACAGCAGTTGTTCTTCATTGCCATTGAGCCACTTGAGCCTCACGGCAATACCCAATATGCAGAGTAGAACTGCTCAGTAGTGTTTTCAAGGCTGTAACCTTTCAGAAGCAGACCACCAAGCCTGTCTTTCAAGGCACCCCTGGACGGATTCGAATCGCCAACCTTCTGACTGCTAGTTGGATGCTTAATTGTTTGCATCACTCAGGAACTCCTTCCATAGCACTTACTACCCTCTAGTTTAGCACAAATTTTACTTATTTAAGTTGGAAAGTCAATGAGAAAATAGACCTTTATTGTTTCTGCTAATATATTTCAAATGCCAAGTGCAATGAATGGAAAAAAATTGCCAAAGTTGGCAATTTAAACTCACCAGCCACTCCTCGGAAACCCTATAAAAGGTCACTATGAGTTGGGAAAGACTCGATGGACTTAACAATAACAACAGTAACAATTACTTTGAATCAGGAAAAGTATACCTTAGAAGGTGTTGAACTTCTGCAGAAAATAATCAGAGAAAATTATAGAAAAATTTAGCCATTATTTCCAAATTTAGAGAATATTGTACTCATAAGCATGGATTTAATAAGTTAAAGCAAATTCACTTATCTCAAATAATAAAGCATATTTTTAAATTGCATCATGAAATAATTCAGACATGCATAATATAATGAATAATTTAATAATAAGTAACATATAAAGGAGCTCTGGTAGCGTAGTGGTTACGAATCGGGCTGCGAACCTTAAGGTCAGCAGTTCGAAACTACCAGCCGCTCTGCGGGAGAAAGATGAGGCTTTCTACTCCAATAAAGATTTACACCCTCGGAAACCCTGTACAGGGTCGCTATGGGTCGGAACCAACTCGACGGCACTTAACAACAACAAACAACAACAACAATCATATAATTAATACCCAACTTTAGGTCAGAATGTTATTTAAAATTACACATCCTATGACCCTATCCAGAGAAGCAGCGATGCCAGAAATGGAGGCAGAGATGATGATGTGGAGAGATGGAGCGGCTGGCGACTCTGGACTTAAGGAGGGAGAGGGGCTGTGTGTTGATGGCCGGAGGGCTGGTTTGTGGGGTGTACCCTCTGGTTGTTTGAATGATTATATATTCCTGAGTGCTTCAGTGTACATCCCCCCAAAAAAAGAGAGAGAGGGAATAGAAGCAAATGCTGTTGAATGATGATGCATGGAGGGGATTGTAATCATTGCAATGAAACGAAATATGACAGGATGAATGTAAAGCTGATGTTCTCCCATGTAAACTATCACTCAAGTCACAATATAAACGTAATTTTAAAAAATTACACATCCTATATATCCCTCCCTTATAAAAGTAACAACTTTCCTAAATTTTGTAATTGTCACTCAAAATTTTGTATTACAAATAGACGAAAGACAAAAAGTATTGCTACTGAAGTTCTAGTTCATCAATACACAGTTTTATTCCAAATAAAACATGACTAAATATGTCTGTGTAATTGGTGGATGATTGTGACAAGTTCTTTCAGTAATATACTTGTCTTAGTCTCATTAGGGTACCTTCAGTAAAAAGGTCCAATGAAAACAGTGGCTTCCATGGGACCAGTGAAATTCAAGGCGGAGAACTCAGCTCAGAAGGTTAAAATTCCAAAGGGTAATTTCAAAGAAAATCTTGATAGATTTTCTCAAAGAACATAGGACAATCATGAGGGCTTATTATAAGGAAGTTTTAGGAAAACTGAAAACTGCACTGATGATGAAAAGCCCGAGGAATTTTTTTCCCCATCATGACCTGTTCATTCTTCAAGGGTAGCAAGGACTGTCCTAGGAAAATTTTGTTAGGAAGCTTTACTCTATCCACCCTACAGCCTTGATCTTACCGCTTTAGACTTTTTGTTGTTATTGTCCCTTAATCTAAAAGAGCATTTCAAAGCGATACTATTTGAGTCCTTAGAGGATGCCAAAACTGGTGCTTTGATATGGTGTAAATTGAGGAATACAAAATTCTTCAGGGAAGGGGTAGAGAAATGATAACACCTCCTTCAGAAGTGTATAGACCTAGATGTCAACAAACGACAACAGTTTCACACTTTGACATTTTTGTTCAGGGAAAGTTTCTATGATTTTATAACTATAATCTTTTTGACTTATCCTTATATATCACTAGTCTGTGGTATGAATAACTAGTTTCTTAGATTTATATGACTGGAATAATTTTCTGTGTATAACCCAGTGATTTACTTTGTGCTTTTGCTGAACATTGTTTTTTGTTGTTTTTGGTAGGGTGGGTAGGAGTAAGGAGTGAGAGTTAGGGTTGGGACTATGGCTAGGTCTAGGCTAGGCCTAGGGTTTCATTTAGTGTTAGAGTTATGGTTAAGACTAGGGTTAGTGTTAGCGGTAAGGGTTGGACTAGGGTTAGGAGTAAGGCTTGGTCTATATTTTAGGGTTAAAGTTAAGCTTTTTTTTTCCTTGAAATCTATTTGAT